GGTCGTCATGAATCAACACTAGTGAACTCGTGGTCCCTGATCGAACTTGCCCACGGTTGTTAACGACAAGCCCGCTCGAGGGCGCCATTGATGTTCATAGTGTGCTTGGGGAGAATAATAAACGCTGTCGTAACAGCCATTTGTCCGAAAATTTTCTTCGGAAGCCTCTCTCTAATTTCGCCAGTGTTTTCAGTGGTCATATTTTCCTTTGTTTTTCGAGTTATAACTGTGTAGTAGATGATACTGTAGTACGTATCGGTATGTTAGCGTGACTTCGAACTGTACACTCCGTGGTTTGATGCACAGACACGTATTCTTAATGCGGGCGATTCACAAGAATGCGCCTCAGAGAGTTTACAACACGTTGACCAATCAGAGTTTGTGAAATCTGTCACCCCTTTCCAAATGCGCCTTTGGGTATTTCTGAGACAATCAAACCTAGGAGGCTTCGATTAACTTAGCAACAATAGTAAAACAGAAAAACAAAATAAACAAAAATTCAAAAACTAATGATAAAAGGAATGCACCGACCATTTTTCACATTTGGAATGTTCACAAATCCGTCAAACAAAATATCTTATTGGACTGGCCTTGCTTACCAAGAACGTGTCGGACTTCGGTTTCCGTGATATAATCCTGCACAAGAGCAATGGAGCTTTATGAACGCAGTTTAATAGGGAAGTCGGGTAAATACGTACGTTGCATTTCCGCGTTTTGAATACAATGCATCGACAACATTACATAAAATCGTCGGCGACGCGCTACTTCAAAGAGATTCAAAGTTCACGTTCTGTATTCAGAATAAGGGACCAAGACAGCCTGAAATTCCACGAACAGGGAATAGTAAAAGTTCTGTACTTATGTCTTGACCTATTTCTGCCTGGTCTTTTAATAGATATTCATAAGTTGCCGAAAAAAGTCATAGTAGGAAAACTATAAATTAATTTCTTCCATGTTGAGGTTCATTGTGAACCTTTAGGGGTCTCAATTGTGCAAAATGGGTTGCAGTGTTACACACGTGTACGCAAAAAAGTATTAGTCTCGTTTCAGTTTGTGAAATACAGATGTGCGCTCAAAACTGAATTTGCTTCTTCGTCAAACCAACTTTACGTCCCGGACGATTCATAATTGGTGTTAAAGCGAACACAAAAGCCAATTTGTGACGTACGATCGGCGCTGAAAGTCACAGAAGCTGAAAACATTTCAACCCTACCCTATCCGCTCCGAGTGGAACAAAAGAGGGCTTTTCACGTCGAAAGGGAGGAAATGCCCCTTCACAGTAACAGATTTCCTTTTTATGCATTTGTAATACAAAGCGGGAAGAGACAAGTATATAATATTCAATGAATAAAAACTTTACTATTAAAAAATTGCCGTCTCACACAAAAGTCCCTGCCCAATCAACTTTTAAGCATTCTCTCTGAAAGCATTCTCTACCTGATTCAGACTGGTATATAAAATAAAACTTACCTCAGATTGTCATGTTCCATGTGCCTGAAATTGAACAACACTCTCGCATTGAGGGCATATCCGCAAGCGAATTGCAGGAAGAGTGAAAACCAACTTTGGAGTGATGTAGGGTATTGGGATACACCCCGAACAAACTTTCATACTGATAACACCTTAAATCTAAGACGGGTTAGAAGTCGCCAGTCACTTTTCAGCAACACGCTTTTCAAAAAATCGTGGAAACCAATGAAAATTGTCAGCCTCTTTGACTCACATAATGGCCTCTTTCATCAGGATGCCAAATGGGAGTTTCATCAAACAGACACTTGCAAACAAGTCAGGCATTTGGCACAGGAAACTCACATTTCCTCTATCGAATGCAATCTTGTAAACCCAACCCAGTGCCAAAGGTTTCTGTATCCTTTTGTTGTTTCAAAGTGAATGGTTCTGTATACTTCCTGGTACAGTAACAGTCTGGCACAATTTACAGTACTTACACATGCAATAAATTTTAACAGGCAAAATAGGCCTAAAAATACGTCAAGGAACACAAAACACAACTTTTTTGTCTCAACTGCTAACTCCTGACCCCAAATGGATATATTGTCCTACTGGGATTCCCTCAGGTGGTAAGAATTGCAAATGAATCGGATTGTGAATTTTAATTAAATGAACATATTCTGTCGTGGTACATATACATCTTAAGCTTTACAACAAATCAAAAGATAAAATTATTTACTCTGCAAAATTTCAAGGTTTGAGTATTAGAGAACCAAAATTACTTCACGGTAAAAGGGAAATGACAAATAAAACTGATGTTATGTACAACTTTAAACGGATGTGGCAGCTATTTGAAGCTTGCAAATTTCCGGCAGGGAAAACAGGCCATGACCTACCACCGACTGTGAACATTGGCCTTTTGGAAGCCTGGCGGACGCAATGAGAAGGCGTTATTTGAGGTGGGTAACTTTGGAATGAACACAAAACGTTTTACCCAAATCAAACCAAATGGCGCCTTCCTATTTTGTCTGCCATACCACAAAATTTAGCCCATTTGGACGGGCACCGTTGTGAAATCCGTGTCTGACTAGCCACTGTCATGCAGAAGCTCAACGTGTGTTGTACAGTATTGGGGAAATAGTTCAACTTTTCCAGCGCCCTCCCTAGTCTTTTCTACGCGGATTTAGCTAATGATTGAGTACGTTACAATCACGCATCCATAATTATTTTGTCCATTGTGCTTAATTTCCCTCATGCATTCCAATGCACGGTGACAGGGCGCTATATTCATTATCGCATTTTATTTCGAGATATGGCAGATTGCTGGACCATCCCAGTAACGGGTCCCAAAGAACAGTTACCAAGTAAAAAAATCTCAACTATTGTGCAAGGCCGCTCTGCCCTCTGCTCTGTACAACCATTGCTGTCGATCAATAACGTCTTGGGCGGAGACTAGCGCGACACAACGTACTCGGCACGCGTAAAGTCGGCGTAAATGCACTCCACTGCGCAACTTCCAATTGTGCCTTCAAGCGGAAGTTTCCCTGGGACGAGTAAACACACCAGATTAAGTGAGACAGTTGCGTTGGGTCCGAGACAAGTAGGTATTAGCTCACTGCAAATTCAAGTTGAATAAATAGTAGGTACTACCTACACATACCCATTCCCCAAAAGATGAGGATTTTTCTTGTTAATCACGGTTGTTTTGTACGGACAGAGTCATTTGCTCGGGATGTTGTTTCTGAGCAGCTGTTCCACTGTGACTGAGGCGATCAGTTAATGCAAAAGTGCACTGTGGACGCTGTTCACATGTTAACAACCTCCCCATTGATCTGGGTCCAACATTCGGGAGTACTACACTTGGTGTTGACAGTTCTGATGACATTTTGCAGAGAGATAAAGTCTTATTAGAACATTTGATTAAGTCGAGGGTAACACTTGAAACTGCTGATTCTCTTCTGACATGCCTATAGCGACGCAGAAATCGGGCATTTGGAATGTACTTGTACCACGGTGATCATCAATCGTACTCGCGACCCGCGGTGCTTGCGTCTAATTTGTGACACGCCATGTGATAGATTTGCAAGCTATGAGCAAGTTTGATATTCCTACAGTGCATGCTTTAAACTAACAGGCGACGGAGGCCATTTGGAAGCGTGTGCCAGATCTGGCCTATCAGCGTGGCCCTATGTGGACTCACACGCACTAGGTCATTAACGACTATATAACGAACATCTTAGAGTGCGTTCGATTAGCTTACATGTGTAAGTTAAACTTACACGAGAGTGTTCGTTTATCCATCACGTGATCCTCGTGCCTGCCTTGGTGTCAGCTACCATAACCCCGGCTAGCGAGCGGGTCTCTGTCTGCCTGAGTGTAATAACGTCACGGGTGGACTGTTAGTGCATGGACGTAATGCCTTGGCGAATACACTGCAGCGTTCGTTTAGCCTCATTTCGAGGCATCCCTTGCCTGTAACACCTGTGTATTCAAGAAAGCTATTTGAACGCATCCCATGTTACATTCACAGCGGTGTGAACGTATGCGCGCACCTTCTCTATGGTAACTGCATTGAACAGAAGGGCCAAAAAGGTAGGGAAAAAAGTGGATTTTCTTTTTCAGGAAAAGACGCGCATCTTTAATAAGTAATTTTGGCTAATTAGCCACTGAGCTCATTTTAATTACTAGATTCACGCCTCTTAAAGAATCATTTGGCATTTTTTTTCCTGCCCACACTTTATTTTCCAGTTTTAAAATGAAACGTCTCTGGAGATTAAGCCGAAAACAATTTTTTCTTCAAAACTGTGTCTCTTCGAGAAAACGGTGGCGAAGTCAACATTGGTTTGTCTCTATGTGGACATTTGGAAAATAGCCATCAACAAACCGATCACCACTTTAGTGCTAATTTTGTGTGAAGTATTTGAATCAATGAACAAAATTAGCTGAGTTGACCTGTTCACTGCTTGCTTCAATTTCTTTGGGAATATGCGATTAAGATGATCATGAGGCTTTTTCAAAAACTGCAAAAAGGTATTTCTACAAAAAGAAAGTTTTGTTTAAAAAACAATTTCTTACCTATTTCAGCCGTCTTCATACATTTGGTGCTGGTCTTGAACCCTTTTCTTTGAGCCAACAACTCTTGTTTGTATCTTCCGGTACAAACAGTAGTCCAAAGATTGCTTACAAGAATAGCAGTGAAGTGCAGGTATTTTGCACAGTGTCAAGGAATTCATGTCTTCCTGTTACGTGATCGTAAATTACAGCATGGGGAGAGCTCATCAAAAAACAATACAATGTTTTATTGAAGCGCCTCCTTGGAAGGTCAGGGCAATTTCTTTTGCATTAAACAGAGGTGCTTCGTATACTTCCTTCAAGGGCATTGGGCCAGCGCCAATCAATAATGAAAGAGCTCTTAATTAGTAACCGGGCTCCAACATGCTTTCGAGTGCTACATACAACAAAACGAAACCTCGTTAATACAATGAAGCTAATTAATGTATCGGTAATGTACATGTACATTGTATTCAAATGAGATCCTTCTGCCATTTATAGCTCTCGTGCCACACGATAATGAGTTAATGTGCACTAAGGCTTATTTCAAGTCGTTCATTGTTATGATATACAGCAAAAAAGACTAGTATGGTTAGAAATAACCATACGGGTGGTACAACGTTTGCGCACAAGATGTACGTGCGCGTTTAAAGACTCCTCGGCACAGTTAGTAGTCCAATTCCCAGGCCAATGATTCTGACTTAAGCCACGTGGGAGAGACATAATGATCGTGGGTGGTTGCTACAGTCACACAAGTAAAACAGGTTGGTAAATGTCTACAGGATATATTTGTTCTTTATACATGTGGAACCATTTTTTCTCATTGCCATTTTTGCACACTTGATGACTTTCAACAGACTACCGAACATGTACTGAATTAAGAATTGATTCTGAATGAATCATCAAAATGAATTCCAGAATTCAGAATTGAAGACTGGCTATCCTGGCATTGGGTCGTACGTTTCAATTACGGTGGTTACCTGGCTTAACACAGGGAATATGGCAGAAGGCTAGGTGCCGCCCATCAAGTACGTACGCACGAAAGGGAGGGTGGTTGGTGCCGTTGCGTACACCATGCGTACAGTGGGGGAGGGGTCCAAGCCAGTGCGTACCGTACAAAAACCGGAAATTTGCCTGTAATGAATCTTCATTATATCAATACGTTTTCTTATACAAATAACCACTAGAATCAGCTTTACCGTCCGCCCCGCCATTTATTCTCCTGTGCCAACACCCATTATTAGTAAACTGCAACATTACTCATGACACAAAGACCAACAGAGTCTTTCGAAATTGTGGAATACGTATGCCTAAGGGAGAAGGGGAGTTGGAGCCACTGCGTACAGCCGGGGGAGGGGGTCTGAAAAGCCTGCATTTCGTGCGTACGTATTTTAAGGATGGTCCCCAGCTGCCAAACCGGAAGCTCATCTCGGACGGCAACCACGTAATTTCGCGTTAACTTCCGGTTCCATAATACATTTGAAATTCACTGATTTAGCACCAAACTAACCTACCAGATATTGGAATCCGGCGACCAAAACAACCTGTCACAGCTTGTTGCCACGTCGGCATGCAAGTTGCACTTGGCCCCCCAAGACAGGTGCACGAGCATTGCGCAAAGGAGTCGCCAACCACGGTAGAGCATGACTCATTTGCCGCGTACAAAATTGCAACAAAACATTAACGGAAGAGTGTCACAGTAACGTTTTTTCACACTTGTTCAGTGCAGGATGGTTGATTTTGGCAGAATCAGAAACGACTGGAAATCAAGTCCACTTTAGTATCTGTATTTTATAGAATCCTTATCACCGGTACTCGCACGAAATGTAATTGGATAGTCTGAGCCTCAAGAGTAAACATGAGTCACCTACTGCTGCAACGTACAGAGACTAGGCAACAATGCATGGCGGGAAATTACTAAGGACAATCCTAAACTGAAGTCGATTTTCCATCCGGGTTCAAAATTTTGAATTCATTGGATTATAAACATAGATAACAGCTTTATATTAACAAAGCCCTTTTGCTATCCTCCACTGTGTTTGAGGAAATGGTACGATTCAGAATAATGCTTTCCCGTGTCTATTTTTGGACAAAGAATATTACTGAACATAAGACGAGTTGTCAACATTTATATCACTGTGAAAAACTCTGTTCGTGGCTGGCAGAAAAGAGACAAAATTCCAATTCTACAAACAATGATTATTAGTCAAGTTCAGGTAGTCTGTCTGTCTGTCTGTTTTACGCCGGCGGGAACACGACCCAGAACACTGTTCTCAGAACAGGATTACACACCATCCCTTGTCAGGGTTATACGGAAAAACTCATGAGAGTCTGATTTTTGAACAGCCTCAAAAATAGAGAGGTGGCTTACAAAGCCTGAGACAATGAGAATTATTTTCTGCAGAATTAACATGAATTATTTTCTATTACACAGAAGTAAATGTTCCGTTTTATATAGAAAAGAAGACACCTCAGTTATTAAAAAATGAACCCTCAAAGAACGTACATGGACGCCACCATGTATATAGGATGTTGCTTGGCACTAACTATACCAGCTATACAACCGGCTGTACGTTCCCAGCGTACGAACGGCCAACCCACACACAGGCAATTGGACTGTTTTTAAACGTACAGAACCAAGCAACCTGAAATAGCTGTTATACGGTAGTTAATTCTATGTTACCCATCTCCGACCGACCCATATGAATGGCTCACATTGTGATGGAGAAGGTTTTTGTGCTGCTAGCCCTTTTTGGAATTTCTTCAAAAGTGTTTTATGCCCCTGACCCTGTCTGGAAGGTTACTACACAACAATAATGAATTTCAGAATTCCCCCCCCCCAAAACGAGTAATTGCTCTTCATCGCCTTTGCAAGTAATCGACCATCCGTCACGATAAAAAGAGAGCTATTTAATAAACAACACGGATGCCTTAATGAACCGTCGTAGCCTATTTTGAAATTTACCCCCTTTTTTTCTTTAGGGTCACTGGAAGACTACAACAGCGACTACTGGTACCACATCATCGTGGCAAACTCTCACAACAGCTTAATCTCAGTGACTCTACATAACAGGACGCGCAAAAACGACTTGAGCAAGCGGAAGTTCAAACCAACCGTGTTAGACAGCAGCTCTAGCACTACAGATGCCGTGTTGCACCAAATATCTATCAACCACAGGAAAATATTCAATTCAACTGACGTACATCATGCCATCTAGAAAAATCCCATGATACAAGCTGTTAACACACGAATAATTCTTTTACGTGGTATGGTGAAGCACGCGCGCCACAATCGGTGGGCAATAGACGGTATTCACGGCGTCCCCGATTTCAGTAATATTCCTGAACGTACATGTACATTGTAAATTTTTAACCCGTAATGGGATGATACCAGGTTATTTTGGGGTTCGCATTGAAATCGTAGAATATAGTCTGGTTCTTGGAATTTAACATTTTCCAATAAAATACACTACGTTGGGGAATATGACTGAAATGTGGACGCCGTGAATACGGTCTATATATTAGAGCGCCCTCCACAGGCAAGAACCAAGGCTCCACATGAGGGCGCCATGCATGGTATTATTTCTCTTTACCTGAGAAGTTTGAGAAATACAGGTAGTAATGAAGTCAAATTGTAACCTAATTTCCATATCTTCTTTCATTCCATTAGCAACTTCATACAAATGATGAAATAAAAGACAATTTTCACCTCCTTAAATGCTGTAATAAACGAAGCCACGTTATGTCATCTCGAGAAATCCCGTCACAAATCGGTAACACACAACAAATTCCTAAGTGTGAAATGGTGCAGCAAGCACGTCGCAATCAGTGGGCAATGTATTTATACCACCCTCGACAACAAATAACCAAGTTTTTGGCGAGGGTGTCATGCTTGCTAATAAATTATTCCTCTACATCCGAGAAAATTGAGAAACACTGGGAGCAGCAAAGTCAAAATTGAAAACTATTTTCTGTGTCTTTTGATTTCATTTGCAAACTACAACGCGAATAAGAGAGAGCGATTTCCGATTTCTTGAGACAGGTTTAATAAATAAAGTCTCAAGTTGCAATTGTCGTGTCATTCTTTCATTTCTCTAAAGGTTCGGAGTTGTTTTTTTCCAGCTATCCACTGTACTGGGCGAGTTTCATAAACTGAACGTCATGGACGTCGCAAGTTGGGGGGGGGGAGGTTAAGCCCTTTTTCACGGATTGGAGCAGCTCCAGTAGTCTGCGAATTCACCTTCAATGTTGAGTCTCCTCCTTTAACGATGCAATACTGAAAATTTGTCGAATAAACATAACCTTGTCGAGATATGGTTTTTCCAAATTAGTTTTTCCAAGAAATATTTGTTTCAGTAGATTTTTTTCTGCATCGGGTCAAGTGCACCGTGCAAAGTCATGCTATTGGAACTCCGTCTTTAATTTAATCTAGGTCCAAGTTATTATGAAATCCTAGCTTTCCTATCAACTGAAAACACTAATATCAGCTGTATCGTAAGCTTCCCTAGCTGCAAATGTTTCGGCGAAAGGAATTTTATGACATTTTGGATGTAGTCCAGTTCATTGAACTCTGAGTCTGATCAGCACCAGTAGAATTACATCTCGTAAAAACAAAGTTGGAAAAGCATAATCTTTTAAAAACAAACTTTGAAAAAAATGTAAACAAACTTGGAAATATATACATTGCTGAAACCTCAACAGAACCACTTTTGTGAGAAATCATTGGTGGAACCAGTTTTGTGGTTGTGGCAAATGACGCTCATTTCATCCACTCATGAATAATCTTCATTAATATGTGTCAGGGGATATGCAGGTAATTGGCATTTGGAGGAAGCTGGTTCACGGTATTTAATGCATGCACAAAATTATCCGGGAACTGAAGGAATGTCATTTAAAAAAAAACAAACTAATATGCTCTTTTTATTTACGTGATTGATATACCATGTCAGAAAAACTGAATGAATTTGAAATTCGCTGTTGTCATTTTAAATTTTGAGCATTGCCGTATTCATAACTATCGTAATCATATTGAATTTCAAGTGGTTTCCAAACAAAAATGTATGAGAACATCTTTAGCAATGCCTGTTTTTTCTTTAGATATTTTTAATTCTCCCAAATAATGCCAAAATGACTTGGTACCTTTAGGGATATCCCTTGACTTGTAACAAAGGGAACCAATTCTTTCCCCATATCCTTTGTTTAAAAATGTGTTAATTGTTGAAAAAAGGTCCAACATTCTGACTGCTACCATGCACCGATGCAGAAAGGAAAAATTGCTTTTATTACCATGTTAGATCAAGAGACAATTGTCAGAAAGCGAGTAATATGCACAATATACGTGCTTTTAGCATTTAAGATACAATGAGAAAATAATTTAAGACTAACTTCTTAAAGACGGGTATTCAGCTTACTGTACCGAATTCACTAAAACATTTGGTCGTCTGAAAACAACATACGAATAGCAGAAACAGCAAATACACAATACGGGCCGCATATATACAGGCAGGTTGACCCTTCTGGATTACAAACATGGATTCTCAAGACTAAATGTGCTCTTCCCATCGTTCATTGCATTACACTTGATTTTCTTATTTATGTGCGTCTTCACTAAACTGCTGAGCCTTACGGGCTTTAATCATGTTTAAATTCACCTATACTCCTATCCACTGAAACACTGATAATAATGATAACTTGATTTTGTTCCGTCTATAATCCCTCAGGTCCATCTATTTTCCCTAAACTACATGCATTTGGTACCCAAAGAAATAAAAGAGCTAGAAGTGAGGTAATAAAATAAAAAAACTACTGCTTCACACAACGTGTGAATTTATTTATCAAGCAACTTCGAAAAAAATCATTGGATTCTCACTATGTGAATGCTAATGCTACACTTTTGTTCGGGTATCCCTGTTAGTAGAAACATTGTTTCCTGTCTCTGTGTGAGCACTAGGTAGCATGGGTGATCGATAATGTTTTTAATTAATGCCATTTATTGTTTTTTCTTATGTCACATTGTTGGGGCTCATCATGACCTTCACTGCGTGTCTTCCATTATGTCGTTCTCGCTAAATTATTCAAATGCATTTTGCTGCTTGTTTTTCGTTATTCTTTAGAAGATATCTCAACGAGGATCTTTTCCTCATAACGTCTCCTGCTTTCAATTTGATATTTCGAAATATTAGATATTAGAAAAATAGATATTCGATAATCATTCTTTGAAGATCTTAAAACAATTTGCCATTAGTCGACACGATTTAGAAACGCCACGGGATTGAACACAAAATAATTCATATGTAATTTAAATATGATTTTTCCTTGAGCCACACTGTCTCAAATCGCCGTTCTTTAAATATGAATCGTTCAATTGTGAGTTAGCCTTCACATTAATTCTACGTATTTCCAAATACGCAGTTATTGTAATTTTCCGTCTCCGTCAATTTACATCTAAGAGGTATTTGTTGTCATTTACCACCTCGACGATCAATTGAAATTGCCGATGTTTTCAACTGCCTGTTTCGGATTAATATGCCGGGTACCAGTCGACACTGTACCATGACATAATGTAATCCTACAAGCTCACGTGCGCCAGTGCAACTACACGACCTAAGGGGTGCACCCGCGTAAATTTGTCAAAATATACCCACCGAGCTCATTAATATACATAATAGTAAATATTCGAGAGTCCTGAGAGCCATGCAATTGGGCAATTGAAGAGATATGCACTGAACTTGACTAGCCTTGACTTGGGACTTCCAATTCTGAGTAATTTGGACGGAACGGGTCCAAAAACTGGCACCATTTGGCTGTTTCACACTGGGGTACATGTATTTTTTTTCAAATGGCAACTTTTCTGAATTTCTCAAAAGGTTATTGGACAACCCACTGCAAATTGAAAGGAAAATGAAAGAAGTAGGAGTTTTGAGTATTCGTAAAAGAATTTTGAAATATAGAGATTTATCAGTGATGACTATGGGGATCAATTTACGGGGATGCATCTTCAGCTACGTGTTTTCTCATGCATACGGCTTCGCGCATGCGTGATAACCCCAGAATATGGCTGCTTTTTATCTCGGCAGGGTGAAGACCTGGAAATATTTTCTTCCAATCGTCCTTCAAACATTTAACTTCGACTAATTTTGAAGCTTCCATACAGTGAGTAAGGACTTTAGTGACCCGTCTATGCATGTTAGAACCGTAAGTTCCAGGATTTGAAGCTTATTTGCACAACGGGAAAAGTGTGCTTCTCCAGCTAAGCGCACGACTTACATATTTTTGTAGTCATGTCTGGTGTATGTACATGTACTGCGATCTAAGTATGACGCCCATGGCCGATATCTGGTTGTTGAGCTGTTAGTATTATGCGTGTGAAATAATTTGGTTTACATTCAATCATGTCTCATTTCTCCGATGAATAATCTCTCCAATCTTTGGTGATGATCTGTAATCACCAAATATTTGTTATATAGCACACCAGTCATAGGCATACTTTTTCCTTTAGCACGCATTTATGTCTCACTATTGTCTTCTTTATATATTTTCTGTTTATTTTAATGACGATATGGTGACGATATCTGTTCCAAGTAAAGCCCTGCTTTCCAATGTGTGACTACTATGATTTGTGTATTTTGTATTTTGTCCTTTGTTGTGTATTATTTGCTACTGTTTTGATGTTTCACCCTTACGTGTGTGCTGCCTTGACACATGGGTGCCTTACCATCATGCATGGGTATCGCCATTTTCGTTTGTTAACCCAACAATTCTTGCTGCTCTTTCCGACACCTTAAGCACACCAGTTCAGATAATTATACATTCCTACACTTATTCTTCCAGAAATCATGTGATTAATCAACCTTTAAAGATGACGGTGACATTTCCTACATCATGCAAGTTGATTTTGTAGAGAGGAATCGCCATTTTGGATGTTAAGCCACCCAAGGCAATTAAGATTAAGCCCAAAATGTAAAAACAGGCAAACCTGGACTGGCTATTAGCTGCGACACATTCAAACCGTCTTGAGACTGTGAAGAATAACCTCTACAGAGCTTGTCAAAAACACACCAGTAAACATCTTCAGGCAAACGTGCAATCTAATCCAGAGGCCTTCTGATTACATGTCAACGGTCTACTTAAAAGCGAAAAACTAGGCATTAAAGACTTGAGTTCAAGAAACAATCTTAGCAGTGACAGTAACTCCAAGGCAGACATTTTCAACAGATGTTTTCAGGAAGCATTTCTACCAAAATCAGATACATGAAACCTTATGCCCAACCGCCAAAGCGACCCAAGTGAAGATATCCCTAACCTGGAACTAAACAACAGCAGGAGGATCTCCTTCTTTTTAAAGCACCTGGTTCCTATCATATATCTCCATGGCTACTATAATTTGTGGAAACCCTTCAATCTTCAATCACTGAATCTTCCACACTACGGACTTACTCTTCTTCTCCATATATGGATTGGGAAATTCCGCAGTGGACGTACCCAAAAAACTGAATGGTAGAAATAGGAGTCAAGTGTCCCCCAAGATTCAATTATGGGGCCATTGCTATTCTTGATTTACATAAAAAAATAACCTTCCAATGAACCAGTCATCCAAAGTTCGTTGTTTTGCAGACGCTTGTCTTACCAACATAATGGCCCATGAAACGTAACCCTAGCAAGTGTAACACTCCTTCCTTAAGAACCTGGAAGCCAATTCAAACTAACTACCAGTCTTGTGGTCGCGATCTACAAGAGTGTTGATGGATCTTGATGTTACCATTACCAGTGATATGTCCTGGTCAAAACACCTTTTATAATGCGGTGGGAAAAATTCCGAGAAGATTAGGTGAGGAATCAAAAGAAATCTTTGGTTCTGTATCACAATTATTCGAGAAACAGCTTACTGGCCTTGGTTTGTCCAAGTTAAGAGTTCGCTTCTTCATGTTGGGATCCTACCTGAAAATAAATGTTGGTCAGGTGAAACGAGTCCAAAAGCATGCAGTCAGATTTATCCACTACACCCGCAGCACATCAACAGGGACAGTCACATCACTTTTTGAAAATCATTGGTGGCCCACTCTCGAACGAAAAAACTTTGTCGATCCATAATGTTCCATATTCTGGACAACTCAGTAGATGTACCACCAGAGGCCTCCGTTACTCCTAATACCTTGTTATCTCGGGGACATCATCATAAACTGAAGCAATGGGCCAGAACCAGAGACTGGAACATTCTCTCAGGTAGTGTTACTGAATCAGCCCACCAGTTCCCGGCAAGTGTTGAGCAGAATTCATCGAATATGGTATAACATTCACATCACTTGACAAATTCAGCTGCTTTATACCTAATCTAACCAGCAAGTTGGTATATGTTTCCTAATATATGTCTTGCTGATGATACGATTTAGATTCAGATTGAATTATTCCCTGAAACTCGAATCTAAAGTCAGCTTTGCAACTACACGTAACTTCAGTAATTTTAGTGGGGCAAATTATGAGTTTTAATAAAGACGTGACTACGACCCTCTTTATATGATTATGAAGAATGAAACAATTTCTTTCCGATGTTTCTGTTAAAAGTGTGCAATGAGTTTTATGTTGTCACCAATTTGCTTCGTTCATATGCAGAATAAGATTGAACCCAGCAAATGAATCTGACGTGCATAACTATTCTTCTATGGTTTTTATTATGAACATATAGCTTTGAACTACGTTCATCTGGGAAGACATACAACATTATTAAATGTTTCAGTCATCTTCCTTGTGTCGCTAAAGGAAGTGCTCACTTGGACATTAACCCAGAAAGATGCAAACATGATGCAGAGGGACCTTGATGGAAACAATCCGTGCAAAATAATGATTCTATTTTTTTGTCACGCACACAAGGATTATTTGAGTCACTTACCAGATTTCAGGAGAGTTGAATTCAGTTTCAGTATAGTATTCCAATCACCACAGAACAGATCCGACGTACCTCAGAAGCCGCCACATACATTTATTCTTCCAAAGAGTATACGCATGTTAAGAATCAGTTGCCTGAATTTCACCCCGAAGTGGTAAGGCCATCCTAGCTAGCAAGGTTCAGTGGTCGGTCTGTGGTTCATCAGTGACAAAACCTGCGCCCCAGCCGCAGTTGTTGGTGTCTAACCGTCATCCATGCTCATCGGTAAGCTGGCTGACACTATCGGCAAAGTAACGGCTGACCAAAGGGCTTCCATCGAGCAGCACTGTTTCTCTACTACCCTGTTAAAAATAAAAACGTAGATAAGTCATACATTTCATCACTCTGTTAACACCTTAATGTCATAGATGTAATAAAGAAGATCATTTTCATATCAGTGATCTCCGTTTAAACACCTGAAAATCAGTCAGAACAGTTGCCAGTTGCTCTATATAAGTTGTTTCTTCTTCTGATCCTTGAGTGTAGTTTACAAACCTGACATCCTCACACCTTCGCCAGAAGCTTGAGAGGATTCAACAGTTGGCCAGGCGTCTTGGTCTCGGTCAAAGACGAGGACAAATGTCTTACCAGTACATAAAGCGACTAATTAACTGGCATTCCCTAACTCTTAGGCTTAACTATTTGCTATCTTCTTTTGTTTTGAGGACATAGGCCTATACAGCGTTTTTCAAGTAAATCGGAATCAGCAGTATCTAAGTTCTAATACGTAATGGTGATTTTTCTCAAGAACATCTTTGCTGCGACTGAAAACTACTGTTCTTCAAGATCTGATGATGTCATTTTTTAATCAGGGGTCATGCTCCAAGTAGCAAGTTGGTCTGTTGTTCGCTTTGAGAAGATGCGAAAAATGACCACCCAGAGTATAGAGGCTACCGTCAAGAATAACTCACAACCAGTACAGACAACTTGATGGACAACCAGATTCTGCCCGATGCAATGATTAGGGCGATTCACTAGGGACAGAATATATTTCTGTCGAAAAAAAATGGTCGAATGGGCCGATCAATTCAGTCCTAAACTGTTATGCACACTAATTTGTGAAGAAGTGTTTTCGTTACTCAGTGAGCTTGCGGTATAGACAGGCAGTTTACAGTGTCTTAAGTTTTTTCATCAAACTTGTTTTTCGTCAACAGTTCCAGGATAATGTACGGTACATCCGAAGCAGGTAAACCTGTTACACATCCAAGTAAGTGTTCCAACCATCGCAAATTATCATCCTTATTATCTTCACCGTTCTTCTTCTCTTCAAAGTATTCTCGGAGATTAGAGCCAAAACGCCCCAAATCCTTATTGTTTCCTTTATTCACCACACTACTCAAAGTAGTGCGTCTGAGCTGCCTTTTTTTCTGGCTCGCCAAGTCAAGTCACAAGTAAACCTACCGGGCTTGACTTGTGACTTCCAGCGGCAACTTTGATAAGATGACATCACCCAGGTCTAGTCTGTTGGTTCGTAAAACAGGAGAATAAAATCTCAATCCATTCAAACGTCACAGCTCAAAATGTATGAAATTGCTGCTTATTTTACATAATTGTAACGATGGACCGAACTCCAACCTTCACATTAGTGAAAATAATGGAAAGTAAAAATGAGTTGTTCAAAGAATGTTGTTTCTTTATTTATAACATCAATAATTGAGTGGACATTTCGGAATCTGGTGGCAGTCACCGCTGAAATTGGTAATGTTGTTCCAAATCCAAGACAACAAACAAAAACTGATGTTTTAGAGAATGGATGATGAGATAAAGCCCTGCTCAGAAGCTTTATGAATAACCCTCTCCTAGACACAATGAAACGGCTGGGTTTTATATATTATCGTTTGTGGTAGAAAAGCATATGATTGATAAAATGGCCCGATCAAAAAAGAAGCTTCAAAAGCAAACACATTCTCAACAGTTTCTAAACCAATGAGATCCCATGCAGGTGGACCTATTACACAGCAATGTGATAGCCATAAACATTGCTATTACCATAAACTATCATCATTTGGGGTGCATCCAGTTCATATCAATGAAATGTTGCAATGTGTCAAGTTTTTAAGTTGGTTTCATTTGAGCGATTTTCATTTTTCAACAGCTGACGAATCAAAGACATCCATTTCCGACTCAGGTGGACCCATTGCACAACCATGTGAGTGTCATATTAGGACTTTTTGGCACACTTTGACCTTTTCAAAAGAAATATGGAGTATTAAAACGTACTTGAGAAATTTAGGTACCTTTGGACCTTTTGAACAGATTAAAATCAATACCAAATAAGGGCCTAATTGTAACACAGGTTTGCCTTATGAATGACAAAGCCTGCTCACAAGTAAACTGGAGAAGTGTTGTCCACGTGGCATAAAACTGTTGCCCCTGCAAATCTCCTTACTGGCATTCTAGCGCTCCAACATTTTTCCGGCGAAAAAATGATTGGACGATGTGATAAAAAAATCGCAACCTGCGCAGAAGCTTTATGACAAATCCAACTGTTGGATACAATGTAAAAAGTTGGCTCAATTTTGAGAAATACATGATCGTTTGTGATAGAAAAAGATATGTTTGGTAAGTATGCCCTATCAGGTAAAAGCTCTAAAAGACAGAGACGTATCTACAACTGTATTACAAACATAGTCCTGAAATAAAACATAAAAAACGTAGAAAAAGTTGAATACATAAACATTAATCATTGAGCGTATAGTCGTTTACGATACAGAAAATGTTAATTATCAAATAAGTGTTTGTTTTAAGTGATCTTAATTTGTCCTAATTGGGACTTTTAACAGTTCGGAATCAATGAGATCCGAGGCAGGTGGACCCATTGCTCTGCTCAGCCACGTACGTGTTATACTTAGAAGCTAAGCCCGAAAGTGACTGAAGCTTTCACAAATAGTCTGAAAGTATGCAGTTTCTTTCTACACAGACGATGCAAAGTGCCTTACATTTTTCTGAAGTTTTGTATAAAGTGACATTTGTTCTCCACAGTTCCAGAATCATTGAAATCCGATTCAGGTGGACCTATTACACAGCCATTTGAGTGTCATAGCCATCGCTATTACTACCATGAACTGTTATCATTTTCTGCAGTCCTCGTTGATAAATTATTACAAAATGTAGTTTTGAGGTTGGTTTCATTTGAGTGATTTTCATTTTTCAACAGCTGACGAATTAACGACATCCGATTCAGGTGGCCCCATTGCACAACCACGTGAGTGTCACATTAGGTCTTTTTGACACAATTGGACCATTTCGAAAGAAATATGGAGTATTAGAAAGTGTTTGAAATGTCTCAGTATCTTTGGACCTTTTGAATGGACGAAAATCAATACCAAATAAATGCAAGGGCCTACTTGTAGCACAGGTTTGCCTAATGAATGTCAAAGCATGCTCACAAGTATACTGGAGAAGTGTTGTCCACGTGGCATAAAAATGTTGCTCCTGCAAATCTCCTTACTGGCATTCTAGCGCTCCAACATTTTTCCGGCGAAAAAGTGATTGGACGATGTGATAAAAAAATTGCAACCTGCGCAGAAGCTTTATGACAAATCCAACTGTTGGATACAATGTAAAAACTTGGCTCAATTTCGAGAAATACATTATCGTTTGAGGTAGAAAAAGATATGATTAGTAAGTATGCCCTATCAAGTAAAAGCTCTAAAAAACAGAGACGTATCTACAACTGTATTACAAACATAGTCCTGAAAGAAAACATAAAAAACGTAGAAAAATTTGAATACATAAACATTAATCATTGAGCGTGTAGTCGTTTACGATACAGAAAGTGGCAATTATCAAATAAGGGTTTGTTTTAAGTGATTTTAATTTGTCCTTATTGGGACTTTTAACAGTTCGGAATCAATGAGATCCGAGGCAGGTGGACCCATTGCTCAGCTCAGCCACGTACGTGTCATGCTTAGAATCTAAGCCCGGAAGAGACTGAAGCTTTCACAATTAGTCTGAAAGTATGCAGTTTCTTTCTACACAGACGATGCAAAGTGTCTTACGTTTTTCTGAAGTTTGTATAAAGTGACATTTGTTCTCTACAGTTCCAGAATCATTGAAATCCGATTCAGGTGGACCTATTACACAGCCATGTGAGTGTCATACCCGTTGCTTTTATTACCATAAACTGTTATCATTTTCTGCAGTCCTTGTTGATAAAATGTTACAAAATATAGTGTTGATGTTGGTTTCATTTGACTGATTTTCATTTTTCAACAGCTGATGAATCAACGACATCCGATTCAGGTGGCCCCATTGCACAACCACGTGAGTGTCATATTAGGTCTTTTTGACACAATTGGACCATTTCGAAAGAAATATGGAGTATTAGAAAGTGTTTGAAATATCTCAGTATCTTTGGACCTTTTGAATGGACAAAAATCAATACCAAATAAATGCGAGGGCCTACTTGTAGCACAGGTTTGCCTAATGAATGGCAAAGCATGCTCCCAAGCAAACTTCAACAGTGTAGTCTGCATATCATGAAACTGTTGCCCGTGCAAATCTCCTTACTCGAATTCCAGCGCCCTCTGGTCAGAACTATGCATATGCAATGGTCTAGCTGGAACTCCAAGTTTTAGACGTGCTGACGTGATCACATGCTCTTATGCTTCATTGTCTTGGTGTTTCTTGTGCTTAATTTGGCATGGCTGAAATTCACCTTCAACGGGGCTGCGTGAGAAGGCTTGGTGAGGTTACTTGGAGTGCCAATAGTCAGTAATTACCTTTGACTTTGTAACTGTCTGTCACACTTACAGATAATTTTGTGAGCACTTTTATCCATCGGGTTCTAAATCTGTGTACATGTGCCAAGGTACTGAAGACTTGAGCTTACATTTGACACGTACAACCCAATGACCCACATTGGTGCAAATTAATTGGACGGGCGGATGCATAGCAGTATCCGCCCCCTCTTCCAAACATGTGGGGGACCTTCTCCCCGTTGCGTTGATTCTGTGCATGGTGAAAAGGACCAAGTGTATGCTTTCAGATGACATTAACATTACCGAAGTTTGTCCAACCTCAAGTTAATATATAAATGGCGCTGAAAATGGTGTACCAATAACAATTAAAAAGTATTTTTGTTTCTCACATTTGCCTCCAGATGAAGACGATCGCATGGATTACCTCCGGCAGTCCGCCGAGACGTTTTGTAAGTTTTACGAAGAGACAAACTTTAAGAAATTTTTGCATGAAATATCCATTACTGAATGGAATTAATACGGTCAATTCTAGTGAAATTGTTTTCAGGAAAAACATCAGGAAAGCAGCCTTAGTAAAAGTATGTGCGATATTTTGTTGA